CATCACATTATAACCGCCCCAGGCTGAAAGGGCGAGCATGTTTGGTGGAAGAGGGATTCGAACCCGCGACCCTCAAATTGCGAGATAAGCGCCTTAATCACCTGGCCATGCCGGTCCTCAGTCAATTATTAGTTTGAGTTGACAATCTTTGTGGTTGTTCTAAGACATGAGGGGAATTAGAGTGAAAAATAACGCGTCATGTTATGACCTTGTTGTATTTCTTTTACTAGAATGAGCATTATTAATTTCCGTAAATCTTATAGCAATTTAATTAACGTTTTAAGTTGCAAAAATCCAATCTCTGTTGTTATGTGAATATAATCTGATATATATATTGAATTTGTAAGCTAATAATTTGAACAGATATTTAACGTGAGCTAAATAAGTATATTAGCAATGTCACTGTAATACACATCGTTTAAGTATAATGTTTTAATCGTTGGTTTTAAATTGAGTTGCGTCGCGTGGATTTGTAAATACATTCTGGACAAGTGTGAACGAACAAATCGATGTAGCTGTCGCAATATGGACACAACGTAGAAATGTACAAAAGTTGTATGAAAGTCACTGAAGTCAATTTAAACAATCATCAACTAAATAGTCCACTATTTTATCAAATACGTGGGTGGACAGTAACTTCTGTATTACAGATTCGAAGGCTGATGCTGATATATTTATGAAATAATATGAAAATACATATTTATTTTTATAATCTGGACTTACTCAGATTACACTGTTGGATACGGATGAATCTCAGTCAAGGCAAATGCTCAGTATATAAGTTTCAAAATGTGCCACTATTTATGGAATAAATTTATGGAATAGGTGACATTTTGATTGAATAAAATACAAGTTTAAACAGTCCTACTGCCTATGAAATATCATCTTCGATTCAAAATGTTGCATTATCTTTGGTTAATGTAATGCATGGGATAAATATCTACAGTCTGGATGTTTTAGAAAAAACAGTCATTTTCAGAGCTGTTTATTTGAAGGATATTGTATGAATATTAATATGTGTTAGGGTGTGTGTAAACAGTGAAGTCAAACTGTACTGTATTAGCATTGATTAGTGTGATGCATGGGATAAATATCTACAGTCTGGATGTTTTAGAAAAAACAGTCATTTTCAGAGCTGTTTATTTGAAGGATATTGTATGAATATTAATATGTGTTAGGGTGTGTGTAAACAGTGAAGTCAAACTGTACTGTATTAGCATTGATTAGTGTGATGCATAAGATTTTTTTCAGGACTATGTTGATCGTGAGTTAAACTAGTATATGGATAATTATATGTTTTAACCACAAACTATGCTATACATTTAGTCAAACTGTAATATAAAAAATGTTAATTATACGTAGTTAAATCCTTTGTTCGTTATTGAATAAACGGATAAAGAAGCGAAATTATAAAGTAGACAGTTTGACTATAACGATAATGCACAACTAATATTGTCTGCCCCAATAGTTGGCCGCTCCCCATAGTTAATCTCATCACCCAATACTAGTTGCATATTTTGGAACTATTCGCCTCCTGGTAGCACAATATGAAAATACTAATTCTTAATAAAACATTTTGGAACTAACCGCCTCCTAGTGATACATTTTGGAACTATTCACCTGGTAGTATTGTGTGGAACTACCTGTCTACGACGTCACAGATCGGTAAGACTGAATATACACTTTAGAAAATCTCAGATCTTTCAATGGAACACACAGCAATATTTATATTAGGACAATAAAACACTCTTCCTTGTGGTTAGTGGACATATGGGATAACATGTTAAACTTTCATTATTATGTTACTGGGGGATCGAACATGACATTGGTGAACATGTGAAAAAACTGAATTTGTTTAATTTTACTTTTAACTTACTGAAAATGAGCGAAAGCCATGAACTACCGAATTTTGTATACATATTACATTACACATGAATATATTCGTAATATACTTTTACTACCAACATTTTGTGTGTATTCTTGAAAATGTAATTAAAAAAACATTACGTAATAGTGCTTTGTGGCAAGTATTGAAACTGTATACAAGAAATCTTCCAGACATTATTTGTTTTATCCTAAATTTAGTTCGCAATTTAGAACCTACAAATTACTGTATGAAAAGAGTTCGTGTTTATTAAATTAAAGAAACTCTTAATATACCGTCACCTGATTATCTTAACCAGTATATATTCTGCTTTGAATAACTTTGAGTATTATTAAGCTGAATAACATGTCTGAAACATTGGATTACGAAAAGGAAACACAAATATTTTAAAGCAACTTTTCAGAAACCGATGTCGCTGCATCGGTGTATTCAGAACCTTTCCGTTGTCTGGTGCTTACTATTCCAGCATTGATCGAATAAGTTAATCCTGAATTAGTTTTTGGTTGAAAGTACGAAGATGTCAAGTCATTCTTGGCTTTCTTTCATGGAGAAAAACCCTTTTATCAAGACATCTTTTCAGCAGGTATTACAAAGATTGCCTGATCTTATATGTTTAAAGAAATCGAACAAGTATCGAGAAATTGAAAGACGGTTGCAAGTCCCTGGGGGGCCGCGTTCTTGTTCCTCTGTTACCCAACTCTTAATTCCTACACTCCCTTGAATAAGACCTGTTTAAAACTCTATCTTAAGCTTTGGAAGCATTTTAACTGGGTTCATTTCTTGTATTCGTGAGAGTTCTACAAAACTGCCTTCACTTTGCAACAAAACTTCTTTTGAAAACTGAACCTTTGTCACTGAAGGGACCTCGTGAATCCAATTAGTTAAATTTCCTAAGTTTGAGAAAAAGGAAAAAAAATGAAGATGAGAGAAAACACGTTATAAAAAGGTTCACAGCTTTATAAACTTTGATGCAAAATATAATTCTGAGTTACACAGGATAAAGGGTAACAATGAATAGACAAAAGGTTTTATTTTCACAAGTCAGCAAATATTTGAATTGAATACGTAAAACGAAATAAAGACTAGATGATATAAACTAAGTATGAACTCGGGTCGATAGAAATGATTTCAT